AGGTGGGGAGAGAGCGCTCTGGTATGAAGGAAGTGTAACTGGATACCCTGAACATAAACTACATTATGGTTAAAAACTACAGTTTTAAAGGCACTTCCTTCCAAGCTTTGGAACAGCTGTATTATCAGATTTCATTTACTAGAATATTTATTGGTTTCATGTGGCTGGTCATTCAGGTAGTAGGTGAACATCTATAATGATCTTTAGCTCCCCCCACTCCACCCCACCCCCACTCCCCAGTTTGTTTATGGATTCCAACTACCAGTTATTTTCTTTGAGGAATGTGAAGTGGTTTTTGTTTTTATTTTATTTTGTTTTGTTTTGTTTTTAGTCTTCTTAGCTAAGCAGTATATACCTAATGGGAAAATACTACAGAAATAATGCAGAGGAATGGAAGAAACTAGTGCCTGCAGTTGAAGGCCTAGTTTTCCTTTGGAGTCTGAGGTTCTGACCTTATTCTATCTGGGGAACCACAGCAAGTAGATGAGTTGATTAAAAACTCTGGTCCTTTTTTCCTCCTGTAGGAAGTGGGGATAATTATAGTTACCTATACCTCCAGGGTCCTATGAGTCTTAATTACTTAATATTTGCAAAGTGTTTGGCGATCTTTGAATTAAAAGTGCTGAGCAGTAGAATCCAAGTTCAGTGTAATTATAATTGGAATGAAAGTTTATATTCCCGCCCTCCCTTCACTTTCCTCCATGCAGTCTTTTCGGCCAGCCCAGACATTGCTCATGGTTACCACTCAGCCCACTTCTCTCTCTCACCATGTCTCTTTTTGTAACTCACTTTAGCCTAAAAATGAATGAATGAATGAATGCACTGATTAAGTTTAAAGATATATCCAGGCCCCTAACCCCGACCCCACTCTGAAGTAACTACTTAATATTTATTTTTAAAGTTCAGTAGCCACTAGGAATAAAATCGATGAATTAATTTTTCTCTTCCAGTCTGTCATTCTTTTGGGCTCTCCCTACACATGCTGATGCGCTGGGCTTCTTGAAGCATTCTGCTCAGAAACTCTGATCGGCTCTTTTGTGCCTGTAAGGCAGGTCCAAACTCTTGAGCATCATTGTCAGAGCCATCCAAAATCTGACAGTAATTCAGTCTTATCTCTCACTATTTCATGCCAGGATTCCTCTCCAGAAATGGACTCCACGCTTACCAGCCTCCATGCTTTTAACCAAGCTGCGGTCCATCCACGGGTGTCTTTTCTGGCTACGTTTAAATCCTTCCTGTCCCTTGCGGTCATCGTCACAAAGAATTCTTCATTCTCTAACAGGAACTAACCGCTTTCTCTTTATTTATACCTTTCCTGGGTCACTTCTACCTTTATATTTCGGTTACTTCACATATGTCCTAACTCCCCCCTAGACTATAAGACTTGAAAAGTAGATTCCATGTCTGATGAATGAACAAAGAAAAGTAAGATGAATGTATGCACATAGTTAAATTAAAGGTTCTGTTGCTTTGCAAGATTTCATTAAGGTGGTCTTTTGATAGATTTGCATCATGTGTGTGAGGAATTAAATATTAATTGAGATTTCTTCAACATAACCATTACCCTTGTTGCTTATAGAACTAGCTAAGATGGGCATCCATATGTTTAAACTGTGTTTGATTACATGCTCATTGACAAAACCCAAAGGGACTGGGAATAAGAGCTTTGCATTTTTCCCCCTGTATGCCTGAATTATCTGTACTATTGTTCGGTTCCCCTTCTTAGCTTTTGCCATGGAAACATGTCTAAATTTTTTGCAAAGCTTTCTTTTAGAGGAAGATTGCATTGTCTAGAATTCCATCCACTGAAGTAACCAGGCCTTGAAGTGGAGGGGGTCTCAGAGGTCATGACTAACCCAGTACTACAAAGTGGTGTCTAAATGGGGCTACCTTGAGGAACTTGGGCCCCAGGATACACACAACTGTAGAAAACTGTGTCCATGTCGTATAAACTCCTTCTTTGACCACTCTTTGTAGGATAGCCTCTCTATTCCCTACAGTTGAATATACTAAAATTGCCAGCATTGTCCTGATGGTAAAAGCTTAGACAAGAAGACATATGACCTATTAGCTCTGTGGTATCTGACAGGTTACCTAACCTTGCTAAACAGTAATTGCCTCATCTGTTTAATAGGGATAACAGTACCCGTCCTGTCTCCTTGTAAGAACCAAGTTAGATGATACTTTCGAATGTTCTACAGTCGTTTAGATAAATGCCAGTTATTACTACAGCAGGGGAGCATGCCTCACATGGGTAGTCATCTGGTTGAAAGTTTAAGACTTGTGAGTCATATTTAGAACTAATCTTTATTCCTTCTCTATTGATTTCCTTTTTAGTCCTATATGCCATGTTTAATTTTTAAGAGTTGGTCTAAAGAAGACCTTCCTAGCATTTTCGAGATGTGGTTGCCTTGAGTGTAACTGTACACTGTTGTGAACACTGGAGCAGAATTACACAGCACCAATGAATTTATTATGTATAAACAGATCTACAGACTCATGATCTCCTTAGCAGTGTTGCGCAGCCTCTTTAACTTTTGCATGATAAAGACTCATCTGAATGGCTAACACATAAGAATTGTCTTGGAAGCTCTTAAACTTGTATCATTTCCTAGTACAGTATATAAAACTATTGAAGAGGTCTGTTTAAAAAAAAACAAAGTTAAAACACTGAGCATTTCCAACTTTTCTATTATGATTATCCCTGAGTACTGTCCAAGTCTTCTGTTGATGTTAGAAACAGATAGTAGGGGCAGTTAGCATGCTGTAGTGTTGTTGGCTTAATTATTGAAGTAAAGCTTTACCCCGTTAGAGGAACTCCAGAGATTGCTCATGGATGATGATTGCCATCCATCAAATTTCTTAGGGCTTATAACTTGGGTTTAGCACAGCCTATGCTTGATCTAATAATTTCATTGAGTTCACTGATGCTTTCCAAAGGACATCATGAAATGATGTCAGGACTGTCTTTTCTCGTGGTTTAATAAACTCATCAGTAAGTTTTTACTGGGTACTGTTAACATTATTCTGTGTTAAGCATTATGGGGGATCAGACACGATCCATTCCCTCAGAGAGCTTATCATTCAACTGAGGACTGACCATCATTAGCAAATCCAGTTAACACTGAACAAGCGAGTAGGGAATGAAGTACTAAATGAGACGTAATATGGAATGTTAGAGGAGCCGGAGGAGCGTGTGTGCTGGAGTAATTAGAGAAGGTATGATACCTGAACTGGGCCATGAAAGATCCTCAAGATTTAGTCAGATAGAGAGAAAGGGGTTTGCCAAGAGATAGAACAAGTCACTTACAGGCAATAAGGTTTATAGGGCTCCAAGGACTTTGGCCTGATCAGAGCAGAGATGGAGCAATGAGTAATATACAGAGTTAGCTAAGTAGGGTGAGACCAGATAAAAGAGGTTAGATTTGATCTGGTAGAGAGAAAAAAACAACTATTGTAAGTTTTGTGTAAGAGAATGGTAAGACGAGTGTGGTTAGTCAGGCAGTGGCTATCAGAGTTGAATGGGACAGAAAGGAGCACATCAGAGGGACAATTGCAGTCACACAGTGAGATGGTGGGGGCAGAGCCAAGAGAATGGCAGTGGGCTGGAGAGAAAGGGACAGACGGGAGAGATGTTTTCAAGGGGAGATGAGCAGGGCCGCTCCACTGAGCAGATTTGAAGGCTGCACTACAAATGTATTGTCAAACGTGAGTTCAAGATTTCCAGCCTGCGGCCTGGGTGGTGCGAAGTGTCAAGAAACCATTGTCAGAAACAGAAAAGTTAGGAAGTAACATGTTCTGACAAAAAGTATGGCTTTGGTGTCAGATGCCTTTGATTTCAAGGCCTTGTGAGTGAGTAGGCAGTTAGCACTGAAGAAGCGTCACTCATGGGGGCTGGGGAAGGGGCTGGGCTGTTCCACCAGGTGGGTAATTACTGAATCTGTGCAGATGTTCTGCTGTGAGGGATGCCTGCCAAGTCATATTTACTCAGATGCCGTTTGTCCCTCTGAAATATTTGCTTGTGGGACCGATGAGAAAATGATATATAAAGTACTACTTTTTTTCAACCAAAAAATTATTAATCCAAAGATAAATGAGCCCAGTGAAGGGCAGGATAAACTTCTTTAAGTCTAGTATAAAAAAAGGTATCATTAGAGGACTCATTACAAAAAATTTAACATTGAAAAAAAAGACTCAGTACCGTGTTAGTGATGATAAAACAGTTTTCCAACTCTGTAGGTTAGGACACCTCACTCAGTATCTTGGCCATTTAAGCAGTTAGTGTGGACACTTAGTAAACACTCCTTAGACTTGCTCTGCTTCCTTCATTCTAAGATGCACATTGGTCTTTCTCTTCTCTTTAGCATCTCTGAATTGGGGTAGTGTCTTACAGCTGACGTCATTTTATTCTTATTGGCCATGCAGCAGTCACAAGATAATTGTCATTACCTTAACCAATTTATTTTGCTTAATTTTATTACATATGCACCAAAGTTACATATGACCAATGTAACCAAATCAGTGTAAAAGAACTCTTCTGTAAGTATACTGTAACAGTTCTAAGTGATAAAGTAAACAACAGTCGAACTGGCTTCATTTTTCATTTCTTAGTGGTACCTAAAATGGTATGTCTTATAATGATGGTATCTAAGATTTAATGAAATATAATATTAAAAGATAGCTGATCACAGCAAATCCCTACCAGTGTGCTAGAGATGGCTGGAGTAAAATATTCTAAATTTGCATTCTTTCATCGACCTACATTAGAGGCGTCCCTTGGGCTATTTTAATTTGGACTGGGAACATTAGGAGAAAGGATTTTCATTCAACGGTGTAAGTACCACCTGCCAGGAATAGCAACCTCCTTGGAGGATCCATTTCTTTGATGGTGCAGAATCCGGAACATTCACAAAAAGTCCAGGTATTAGCAGAATGGATATCTAGGTTTTATTCAAACCAGAGCACCCTTCCTAATCTCAGACCATGTGCACTCCAAGCAGTTCTGAGCACGCTTGCCCTTCTGCAAAGTGAGAGTGAATCTACGGGGAAGTTTGTTGGTGTTCGGGGATGATAGTAAAGCCTGTTAGTGGTAGAAAATGTGCTCTCTTGTAAAAGTGCAGAACAGAAACATTTGGTTCTCAAGACCAGAGTCCTCAGCCACTTCTGCAGCGTGACGTGTTGGCCGGAGGCAGTTTCCCTTCCACTCACTAGCACCTCCTGGACAGAAACACAGTCCCTTTTCCTACTGATTGGCACAGTGTGCGTGTGCCAGGTGTGGCACATGTGTGTCTTCTCGTAAGGCCATCCTCCAGAACTGAGAGTAGGAATAAAGTTAGAGCGTCTGGGCTTCTCTTGCTCTGAGGGGTGCGACGCTTCAGGTAAGTGGTGCTGAAGTCCTTCGCCGTCTGACGGTAACCTTGGGTTGGTCTGTAGGTATGTCTCATTTTGCTTGTTCATCCGTCCTAATTGGCGTCCCGGAGCATGCTTGTAGATGTAGGGCCAAATTTAGAGTATAGCAACCCTCTGGCAAACAGGAAAAGATTAATTTTGTGGTGTGCTGTTAAGGGACTTCCCAGGAAACTTCAAAAGCACAGAAAGAAGCACTGGCTGCCTATTCCAAAACGTGCAAAATGGCACTCAGCTTTTTAAAGGTATGATAAACTCAGAGAGTGCGCACACACACACACACACACACACGCAGGACCCCATTTCCAATAAAAAGAGAAGCTGCGCTTTCTTAGATGGGTTCTGTAGAGGAGCCGGAAAAGCCAAGGGGTGAGGGGCTGTGAGAGTTACAGAGATAAATGTGGATCCGCATATGGGAGGCATTTGAACTTGACTTCAGTGCCTTTGTAATGCTGACTCCTCCAGTTTTCTCTTAAGCAGACACATTGTTTTCATGATATCAGCCCCAGGCACAGACACATCATTAAAATCAATGTGTAGAAAATGACTTCTGTTTGGAAATAAGCAAAACATTTTCAAGTTATGACCACCCAGGTGTAGTAGGAAAACACTGGAGCTGGGGTTGGGAGCCCGAATTCTTTTTTTGTTTGGTTTTTTGTTTTAATTTATCTTTATTGTTGAAAGTATTACAGATGTTCCCCCTTTTCCCCCCATTGGCCCCCCCTAATGCAGTCTTTCTTCATGACACAAGGGGAGTCCTCTGTGGCTTTTGGTTTCCTTATCTGTAAAACAGGACAGCTGGATCTTCTTTGCTGTAATAGATTATCTCTATGGGAGATGCAAGTCAATGGAAAGGCTCCTTACAGCTCCCTGACTTCTGTTTTATTGCACTATTCATGCCTAGTTATCACATAGCTAGAAAGGCCCCCTCAGATCCCCCAGGCCACACACTCCCGCAAGAGGACCCGCTTGCTAACTTAAAAAAAAAAAAAAAAATTACGATTACCCTTGCAGTTGTTGCTTAGTAACATTTCTGATTCTGTGCTTCTCGTGACAGCCTGAGCAGAGATCATTAAAAATTTAACTTACAAAGCTTCTAAAGTGAGGGGAAGGAGGAAAACTCGAAGCCACATTTTTTTCGCTTGCTTAGACGCCATCTAATCTCGGGTTTATATGCTAAATCTCAGGGAAAGCACTGCATGCCTCTGGTTTCTGTTAAACCATGGACAGCACACTACTGACATTAACTTGTGTCTGGTGCAGCTGGAGTTTATCACCGATACATAAAAAATAAATAAATAAATAACAACGACAACAAAAAACCTTGACCCCGCAGAATGGCCCGGAATTGCAGTCAGATGGGCTGCTGCCTTGTCGCCCCGCAAAAGGAAGCCCTAACCCGTTTTCTGTCCTGTCTCTGCTCTCTCCCCACAGTTCCACCAGGTGAGAAGAGTGATGACCATCCTGTTCCTTACTATGGTTATTTCATACTTCGGTTGCATGAAGGCTGCCCCCATGAAAGAAGCGAGCGTCCGAGGACAAGGCAGCTTGGCCTACCCAGGCGTTCGGACCCATGGGACCCTGGAGAGCGCCGGTGGGCCCAAGGCGGGTTCCAGAGGCCTGACGTCCCTGGCGGACACTTTCGAACACGTGATCGAAGAGCTGCTGGAGGAGGAGCAGAAAGCCCGGCCCCACGAGGAGAGCAGTAAGGACGCGGACTTGTACAGCTCCAGGGTGATGCTCAGCAGTCAAGTGCCTTTGGAGCCGCCCCTTCTCTTCCTGCTGGAGGAATACAAAAATTACCTGGATGCCGCGAACATGTCCATGAGGGTCCGGCGCCACTCGGACCCGGCCCGCCGCGGGGAGCTGAGCGTGTGCGACAGCATCAGCGAGTGGGTCACAGCCGCGGATAAAAAGACCGCGGTGGACATGTCGGGCGGGACGGTCACGGTCCTCGAGAAGGTCCCTGTGTCGAAAGGCCAACTGAAGCAGTACTTCTACGAGACCAAGTGCAACCCGATGGGCTACACCAAGGAGGGCTGCAGGGGCATAGACAAGAGGCACTGGAACTCCCAGTGCCGAACTACCCAGTCGTACGTGCGGGCCCTCACCATGGATAGCAAAAAGAGGATCGGCTGGCGCTTCATCAGGATAGACACTTCCTGCGTGTGTACATTGACCATTAAGCGGGGCAGATAGTGCGTTTATGCTGTATAGATTATATGGAGACAGAAATTATCTATTTGTATATATACATAACAGGGTAAATTATTCAGTTAAGGAAAAAAAAAAATAATTTTATGAACTGCATGTATAAATGAAGTTTATACAGTACCGTGGTTCTACAATCTATTTATTGGACATACCCGTGACCAGAAGGGAAACAGTCATTTTGCGCACAACTTTTAAAACGTCTGCATCTACATTCCTCGATGATGTTGTGGTTTGTTGCCGTTGCCAAGAATTGAAAACGTTAAAAAAAAGTTTCGAAAAATAATAATAATAATAAATTGCATGCTGCTTTCCTTGTGAATCGATAATAAACTGTCCTCTTTCAGAAAACAGACGACACACACGCACACGCACACGCGCGCACACAAAACCAACAACCGAGATTTGAACCAAAACATTCCGTTTACAGTTTAGACAGTAAGTATCTCAGTCCCTGTCAGTGCTCTATCTGTTTTACTGCTTTCAAACTTCTGATAGCATTGGAATTAAAACAATGTCAAGGTGCTGTTGTCATCGCTTTACTGGCTTAGGGGACGGGGGATGGGAGGGGTATATTTTTGTTTGTTTTGTGTTTTTCTTTTGTTTTTTGTTTTTGTTTTTTCGTTTTGTTTTGTTTTGTTTTTAGGTTCCCACAGGGAGTAGGGATGGGGAAAGCATTCCTTCAGTATATGTTCCGGTTGATAATAGATTCATTTGTATGCCGTACAGATGTTTGCAGCATCAATCAGATGACTAGGAAGTCCATAAAAATTGAGGCTACTGAATGAAGCACTCAGTCCCATTCCCACGATGCACCTCCTAGGCTCTCGCTCGCCCTCTGGGCCTCGGTCAGGGGGAGCTCCTTTTATTACAAACACCTACATTTACTTCGAGCACATTCTTTCCCCTCTCCCCTCCTTGGTCCCCTCTTTGTTTCATTTTCTCTTCAGGGAGAAAAATCAGTTCCGTGCTCTGAAATATTTTACCACTGCTGTGAACGAGTGAACACATTTTGTCACATCGTGGCACTCTCAAGCATGGAGAACAGTGTTTTCTTTGCTTTTTTTTTAAATGAGAAAAAGAACAACCAAAAAATTAAAAATAAAGATTTTTTTTTTTTTTTTAAAAGGAAAACAATTTGGGTAAAATCATGGTAAGGCTTTAAAATGTCTTTCGAGCAAAAGGCGGAGTTCTGTGTGGACCCAGAATCGCCTAGATCAGAACAGGAGCCCACACTGCCAGTGAAATGAGACTGAACAGCCGTACGGAGGCTGTGTGGAGCTGACATATCATTTTCGGGCGGCGTGGGAGGAATTTCTGAGTGGCCATCCTGAGGTCTAGGTGGGGGTGGGGAATGGTACTTGAGACATTCCAAGAGGGAGGCCTCTGAAGGACCCTTCAGAGGTGGCTCTGGAATGACATGTGTCAAGTTGCTTTGGACCTCACGCTTTAAGTGCCTACATTATCTAACTGTGCTAAGAGGTTCTCGCTGGAGGACCATGCTCAAGCCGACTTAATGCCCTCCACCCCTGGATAGCTGCATAAAGCTGGATTAGCATAAAGCAGGTTCAGAACCAAATGTGACATTGTGACTATGAGACCCATGCAGTGAGATGCAAGATGCTTGCTGCCTGAACGCTTACTGCTTTGAAATTAGACTTGAGGAAACCAGGGTTTTTGTCTTTTGAGAACTTTTGGTAAGGGGGGAAGGGAACAGGAAAAGACCCCAAAACTCAGGTTGAATGATCAAGGCTACCAATAGAAAAGCTTGTCCAGAGACAAGACTTTGGGAAGGTGTCTACACATTTAAGACACCGGAGACTTGAAGGTGCCTTGCTCAGCGGAAGAGGCCAGGACAGAGCTGGCAAAGTTTTGCTCCCCAGTGAAGGCCACAGCAACTTCCTGCCTATCCTGTCTGTTCATGGAGAGAGTCCCTGCCTCACCTCTGCCAGCTTGGGTTAGGAGAAGCGAAGTAGGGAGCCTGGAATAGTGGTCCTAGGAAAAATGGACCCTGGGGAAAGTTAGGGCTAAACCTATCTACCCATTCATTCTACTGTCCAACTCTGAAAGTGTCCTGGACCAGTGTCCTTGAATATCAGAAAACCTCAAGAAATTACCATATCTTAGTAGAGCAAGGGATAAACAAAAGAAGACGTCCACCAGGACCCAGGGGATGAAGATACCATCAGCAAATAATTTCTCTTTGTTCAGTCTTTCATTTAGAATGAGCCTATCTTTTACAGCACCATCCGAATACCTGTCATTAAAAGAAGAAAGAATTTATGTAGCATAGGTTTGTTTTGTTCTGTTTGAAAATACTGTCTTTGTAATTATTTTGAACATGTATTGAATACCTGGAATATCCACTGTATGTTAACTTTTTGCAGCTCCATTTTGAGGGACAAAATTATATTAAAAAAAAAAAAGTCCCCATCACAGTCTCACAAGTGCTGCAAAGAGCAGGTCTGTTGAGAGGTTGAGTAGGAGATATTCAGCAATTGTGCAGTCAGTGGCTCTCTCTTACCCAATAAGTTACATCACAGTCACACGCTTGGTGGTTTACGTTGACCTAAGATTTATTTTGTTAAGACCTTTCTCTGTTGCTGTTCATTTTTGTTCCGTTCTGTTGTTTTGTTTTGTTTTAAAGTCTTGCTGTGGTCTCTTTGTGGCAGAAGTGTTTCATGCATGGCAGCGGGCCTGTTGCTTTTTTATGGTGATTCCCATTGAAAATGTAAGTAAATGTCTGTGGCCTTGTTCTCTCTATGGTAAAGATATTATTCACCATGTAAAACAAACAAAAAAATATTTATTGTATTTTAGTATATTTATATAATTATGTTATTGAAAAAAATTGGCATTAAAACTTAACCGCATCAGAAGCCTATTGTAAATACAAGTTCTATTTAAGTGTACTAATTAACATATAATATATGTTTTAAATATAGAATTTTTAATGTTTTTAAATATATTTTCAAAGTACATAAAATCTGGGGGTTCTGGGTTTTTTTCTCTTCACTGTAAAACAAACATGAAAACGTGTTTTATTATAAATACGCGTGTTCCTTGCTTTAAGACCAACCTGACTGGTTTTAGCAATTGCACAGCCCTCCAGAGAGGATGCTTATTTCAAAGCATGGGAGGCCAATCCTGCAGTCTGAGCTCCCACGAAGCTCGAGGATTGGGCCTGTCTTCCACAGTGGAAGATGGGAGTGTCGTTTTCTAGGACACTTGAAAATTTTCCCCTTTGAAGTGATACACTTTCATCAAGTACGAAACTATGTATCCTAGCAACATCAGGATCCAGGGCTGGCTGGCTCTATTTGATTATAAAATAACTGTTAAAAAAAAATCAAAGTAGGTTTACTTAGGGATAATGAGAATAAATTGGCCCAAATTTAGAAAGTCAATGACTGAAAAAAATATAGACATTCAATATTTAGAAGCAGGTCATGTACCCTCGGTTTGGAGACGGTGCCATTTGCATTATGTATTTGTATCCGTTGCACTGATTTAATTTTTGTACGTGGAGCCACACAGATTTTATGTCACAGTACCCACGATCTGACAGATTGCTAGGATTTCTAAAAAGATTTGCCTCTGTGATGGCTGCCAAGCCGCTGGGTAATTTAGTTAAAGTGTTTAAAGTTATCACTAAATCTTGGGGAAATAAATGGAAGGATTTTAAATTAGAGAAAGGGCCATTAAGGGAGAAAAAGCATCTGTTCCTACTCTTCCGACTCCCCATTTGAACAGTCAACCCATCCCAGAACGTGGTGAACTATATCTGCGCAATGTACCATTTCTCTTTCAAACATACACACATGGTTTCCTCTTGTGTTGTCTTATAAGTAAGGATGAAGGAAGTCCTAACGAACATCGACTTGGGTCATGTATTTGGAAGAGCCGATCGAATGAGATGGATTGCTCAGTCCTAACCTGTCCAGTAAGTTTGCAAAGTTCTCTCAACCCCTAAGAGCGATCCTTGACTGCCAGTCAAAGCGTGAGCCCAGCCAGGGAACGAGAGCTCTGGTGAACTTCAGGCTTAGACGGTTTTCATAGTCAAGGGAGACTAAAGCCTTGCTGGAAGGGTAAAAAGAAATGACAATAAAATGTGACATTTGGGTTACTTGAAGTTAAAGGACTTTGGTGAATGTAATGAAGTTTTCATTAGAAGATGGGGTCAAAGAGACAAACAAGAACTAGAGGCACTGACTAAGTCAACCAGCTTAAAGTTAGTGGGAGTAGCCAGCTTGTACTCTGTTCACTGGTACAAGCAGTTAAACCTGTTTAATCATTAAGGTGCCTGGAAATAACCCGAACCACTGCTTTGACCTCTTGTTTTTTACCATATTGATAAGCCTCTATGGTCGTCAGCAGTGTCTATGGAGTTTTACTTTTATTAGCTGTATGAATTCTATGAATACTGTCCCAGTTCTGAGTGAGAATGTGACTGAAATTTTAGGATGGATCAGTGTGAAATTATCCGTTTTTCACTTACTAGACTCTGGGTAAAACGTCGAACACCTTGGGAACTGCAGTCCAAGGCTTCAGACCTGCCTCAGGTCGGCCAGCACTCTGGCAGTATCAGCGCTTATGCCTAAAGTAAAACGTGTATGTCTTCTCCATAGTCTCACATCAAGCCTGCTCTGTAAGTCAGTAAAAGGGGAAGTGGCTGCCTTTTGGCAAGCCATTGTTCAGTAAAAATTGTTGGTAATTGGGAAGGGAAACAATATATCTACATAAATGGAGGTAAAGTATTTAGCCTAGAAAGAGACATCTGTGGATTTGATCCAACCTCAAAATGTTGAACAGCAAAATTAGTGATGGAATCTGGGCC